CCCCAAAACCCCAAAACCCCAAAACCCCAAAACCCCGGAATATCTAAGAATAATTGAAAATTATCTCTCCTTATCTTTATGAGCTTCCAGATTGTCGTTCCCAAGAAGTAAGAGGGAGATGCTAATGATTCAAATGATGATTCCTCCTAGGAAATAACTAAAATCAAACCAGGATTCGTACTCTCCGAATTCTCGCAGGAAGATGCCACCACTCAGTAAGTTGTGAAATAGGTCTCCGGCTTTGAACAATGGACTGACATATACAGTGTTAAAGTTCTTTAAGGCCTTGTTTAGCATGTAATAGCTTAGAACTGAGTTGAACACTATTCCGAATAAGTACATTTTTGGCATTATTCCAGCAAATTTTGAGTTGGTTTCCTCTCCATCAGCTAGAGCCATCCCGGTTAAACCTCTTGATAGTGTCATTGTGAGAGATGTGCAGAAACATCCAGTGTACGGATACAGAAGTAATGGTACAATTCTCCATCTTTTGGATTTAAATAGAGATAAAATGAATGAATTCTTTTCTGGTGAGCGATGTCTAATAGCGTACTCTACAGTATCAGATTTTGAATCCACTTGTGAGCGAATATGGTTGTCATCAGCCACGTTGATAGTTCGATCCTCTAAATTATCCTCTTCCTGGTCCTCCTCTGTGTTGACAATTTCAGGGATTATTTCATCAAGTTCTTTCTCATTCAAAGAGTTGATCTCAGTAGGGTTAGCTTGGATTATATAGTCAGAAGCTACCAAGCCAACCATAATCAGAAGTAGGTTTACAAAAAGATAAGTCATTGAGACAGTTGAGAAGAAGTACTCGTTAAACTTCTCTTGCGAATATCTGTTATTCTCCATTGATGCATACATCAGAGTGATGATTCAGCCAAATACGAAACATGTCAGGCCTATATATTCTCACTTTCGTATAGGCTCTTTGAGGTAGAATTTGGCCAACAGCATATTAGCAACAAGCGAAAATGGCCCTACTACACCGATTGTTGACTGATTCACCATTGAGATACCGACTAGGTAAAATGGTTGTGTTAAAATTATGAATACGAGTCCTATCCACCAATGCATACTCTTGAACACTGATTTCTCTGAGTTGTGGATTAGATTAAAGGCTTGCTTCTGCAGTGCCCATCCGATGGCTGCACACGCGCATCCAATTCCTGTGATGCCCAGTCCAACATAAGCTAAATGCATATTTGAATTTCGTAAAAATATATTAATATATCGGGGTTTTGGGGTTTTGGGGTTTTGGGGTTTTGGGGTTTTGGGGTTTTGGG